GGCATCGGCCGCGTCGTCCTGCAGCATGACCGCGATACTCTTGCCGTGGGATTCACTTTGCGTCTTGCCGGAGCTCATGGTGTCGACGTGGATGCTGGTGGAGCTGAGGACTTGGGAGATCTTTGTGTGCACAAAGGCAGAGTAGCCGCGCTGGGTCTGGGGGCTGCTTGTGGATGCTTGTCCCGCACGATGGTAATGCACGAACTGCTTGGGGAAAGTGTGCTGGGCACTGCCTCCCGCTGCATATCCTGCCACCAACGAAACGCAATTTCCGGAGAAAGGTCCAAACTGCGATAGGACGTACTTTCCACGAGCCTCCATCTCGTTTGGCTCATCTGCGCGGTTGCCACCCGAAAGCCTCTTAGCAACATCAGTCCCTTGGGCGCACGACCTCATGGCCTTCGCGACCTCCGGAATGCCCTCACTCGTCCGGCTGGGGGCCTGGTTTCCCTGCAAGTCGGCTGTTGTGTATGTTCCACCTTGCCAGAGCGCATAGGAGGCCGCACGGAAAGGTTTTGGCTGCATGCCAAGCTTGGGCTTCATGGCACCTGCCGCCAGGCCTCCATTGCTGGCGCCCTTGTCCAGGATGCGCCACATCGTGTTCACAGATGGGCTGTCCTGCAATCGCAAGAACGACGGGGGCAAATAGAAGTCGTAGATCTTGCCGAACTCGACATCTTCCATACCTCAGCCGGCCAGCAAACAGAGTTACCCCAACCATTTCAGGCTCTGCGTAGCAAGACATCTGGCGACACCAAGCCCGGGACCCTGAGTGTTGCCAATGGCGAGGGTCAGGAAGGACCTCACCATGTCGCGGCCATCGGTGAGGTTGCTGTCGAAGAGAACGGTCGGGTAGGCAATTCTCATCTCCTGACTGTCCGCGTCGATGTAGTACACTACCGCGTTTGCTGACTCCTTGGCGTCGTCTGTGCTTCTGGCGCCAGTGCAAGACTCGGCCGCAAAATGGGCGGCAGTAGCCAGGTAATCGTAACCCGTCTTCGGCTTCATGATATATGCGACCAGCACATGC